AATGATTTGGTTTCATCATTTGAAGAAAGGTTTAAAGAAGGTAAAACTGGTTTTTGTAATTATCCTTTATTAAAATTTATCAAACAATCCCTCTATTTGTTAAATTCAGTGAATATTCTATCACTACTTCATTATAAAACATTGTGTATTAGTGCCATCATTTTGCTTTTCTTGTTTTACAAGGGTTACAACTGACAGCAGCAAAAATGTGATACACATTCACATTTCCCTACTGAACTGAGCATTTACATTTCATATGGGGGCTTTAAACTAAACCACCCATATGACTCTTACTGAATTAGAGATTTCATGCTTTAAATCAAGGGACAAAGTGCAAAGTGTACCTCAAATGAACACAGCTGTGGAGTCAGTGTGATAGCTAATACAAATTCAACGTTCCTTGGTAAGCTCTGCTTATTCCTTGTGGCTTTCCACTGACGATGAAGAATGCTGTGTAAAAGCCAACAAAACTGCATGTCCCCATGGTACCTTACAAATATAAATTACATTGTTTTGCACTCAGTGTGAGTGCCTGCTTAAGAGAAAAGGAGGATATTGTCTTGAGTTAGATAAAGCAAACAAACAGAATGGCAATTTGCATTACTACTTTCTGTACTGCATTATGATTTTTCTCATTTTACATAAATATCTAGATCAACAATTGCTAACTAAGTTTTGGCTATTTTGTTGTGTTTGTTTTGCTTTTTTTTTTTTTTAAATGCCTACTCTGCAGAAAAATCCTATTTTTCATCTCTTTGCTGTCCAGAAAGTGCATAATCAAAAGAAATTATTAGAGATGAAAGAGAGTATGCTGTCCTTAAGGACATAAAAACAGCATCTGTAGACCTGGATTCAGAATTCTCAGTTGTACAGATAACAGTATTAGGAGTGAGAATCAGATATAATGAAAGCAGTTGTGGGACAATTGCAGTTTGAGGTAGCACGAGTATGAGGGTCAGTGCTGGGAGTGAAAGGACTGTGTACCTGCTGCTTTTTAATGGGGCTTGCTGTTGTTTCACAGAAAGTGATGTATGGCAGTCACATAACCTTCTGTCAAAGCATAGTCAGACACCAGCAGAAACCTAGAAAGGTGTCAAACATCAAATCTCCAACTCAAGAGGAGCCTGCAAGAGATAGATGTGCAATTTTACCAAGAAATGGTCAGCAGTGGCTTCAGATGCCTCCACTACAGTTATTAAACTGAGAATTCCAGTCTTGAGAATGGGTTTGTCTGGCAAGGAAAAAGAGACAGGAGAGTAAGAGGAATGATATTTGAGGCTTTGAGTTTCAAGTTCACGTGTATATGTGAACCATCATCTATGCATCCTCTTTTTAGCTGCATTTTTTGAGAGTTTCTAAGATTAATGCTATCATAAAAGCCATTCTGAGTAAAGGATTTTTGTAAAAACAGATGCATTTTTTCAGGTTAATGTCTTTCATATACTTTGGATGCTCTTGTTGCTTATAATTAATTGTGGGGTAAACCATACGGTGAAGTCTGTAACAATTATATTCTGTGGGATTTTTCTTTTAACATTTTCTTAATAACTACAAGGTAAGATGTCAATCATGTACATCTTTTGTGTCATTTAGTCATAGCACATTCATAATACTCCCTCCCAAAAACACATGCTGAATTTACACTCTCATATAGTAAGATGTATTCCTGTACATTTAGGTCTGGAAGATAAAGCATGGTAAAGTCCAGAACGCTTTTCCCCATAAAGCCTGTGAGAAGGAAACTAGTTATTTACTGGGATGAAGGAACATACCTCTGTTCTTTTCCCTTTTTCAGAACCATAGGGAAAAACAAATAATTCAGAGCAGGAAAGCAGCTGAGTTCCGTTTGGATCTAGCTAGCAGAAAACAAAACCCATCTCCTGCAGACAAATAAAGCTCATCTAAATGAGTTTAGAAAAGTCAGTAGCTCTCCTACCACAGAAGGGTCACTGTTACAGCTTCCAGGTCCTTAGGCAGAAGGACAGTACCTGCAGTCCCTACCATATATTGGACTTGTCTTCTCCTAAAAGGCTTTTAGGAGCAATACAGAGTGCAAGCTATTCATATTCTGTCATGCCTCATGACTACAAAGCACAGAGCTTGGAGGAACTGGTCCCCTGGTAGATGATCTGACGGCCAGGCTCTCCGACAAGAAAATATTCTTTACATGCAGAGCGTGCTGAAAGATCTACAGATGTAAAGATAGAAATTAGCTAGGCTTTGAGGGGAGGTAAATTATAAAATAATTACGCTTCTAAAAAACAAGATGGAAAACTTTGCATTTTTACTGACTTTTATCAGATTTGCGCCATCATTTGTAATTATTGTGTAGGGTCCGTAAAGCAGAACTGCACTTTCAATTAGGGAGGTTTTTTAATATTTGATGTTGGCTTTCCAATGTTATATACAATATAATAGTGTATAGTTAAAATTAATTTAATCTAGTATATTCGAATATGACAAAAATGCCAGAAGGATTATACTAGAACTATAATAACAGTAGCAACAGAGTTTTTAGAAGACTGAAATACAGTGTTATGCCTAAGAAGAGCGTTGCCAATACCTCATGCTCAAAAAAACATCCAGATAATGAAAAAAGCAGCAGAAATAATTTCAGGGGAAAAATGAACCAATAAATATTCCAAAAATTCTTTCCATCTTTTTTTTCAGAGATTATGATGGCAATTAGGACAGTATATAGGGTTCCTTTGATATTGTCTATGGATGCCAAGTCTATATGCTGAGTTGAGTTATTCAATTCTAAAAATGCATTATGTTCAAATCACATTTTCTAAAGTGGTTTTCTGTTAGAACTACATCAAATGAAAGCCTTATTACTGGCTTAAATGTAATTCAGTTCATTCTTGTTGTGTCAGGAGATGTTTTTATATATAAGGGGAAAGAAATGAAAAATTTTTTTTAAAACCCACTAGTCATTATGAGGGTTTTTTAATATCATCAACACTGCCATAAAGGCAGATGATAAACTGCACACTATTCAGAAGAAAGAAATAGAATGAAATTAGCATTGAATTACTCTAAATTAATCATAGCCCTGTATTCCTGTCATTCCAGGGAAAATAAAAGCTTGGCTCTTTCAGATTCTAATGTTTCCTCTCAGACTTTGCCATTATTTGTAGTGAGAGGGAAGTAAGAAGTCCATGTACTGTAGAAAGAACACAGGAATATTTTGGACTGGTGGGGTTGCTAAATTTTTGTTGCTGTTTCTAACCAACAGCAAAGCAGCACTGATGACTTGGGTCCAGATGGTTAGCAATGTTAATGTTTCACAACAATGACCTAATGAAACTCTTTAGTGCTGGTCACAGGTAAATGCTTGAAAGGTTTATGGCAAGGGAAAAAACTTTAATAAATAAATTGAAAATCTGACTCTTATTGCTTTCATAATTATTGCTCTTTATAGTGGCATAATGGAACAACAAAGCTTAGTTGAAAAAAAGACTAGAAAAGAGGAACTCTCTTTGGAGCTAATAGGATGTACAGTGTGACTTTTTTTTTTACTTCTTCTAAGATGAATAGCTAGTTAAAACCATTAAGCCTCTCTCAGACTTAAGGGGAGAATTTAAAGGTCTTTTTTATTATAGCTAGTCTCTCTAGGGATCAGACCTAAAACAGGAGAGATGAAGATTTTTCTCTGTGCAAATAGAGAATAGTTTCAGGATGATTTAACTGAAAGAAGAAAGTTCTGGGATCTCTCACATGAGCTTTTCTCCCAAATCCTTGTTACCTGTGAAGACCACAGCCAGAGACTTGGTGCTCTCTTTGCAATGAGGAGGAAATCTGATGCCTGACTTTTTCAAAGTCAGGAGCTCAGTCCTGCAGCGACTTGGATGTTTCTGGAAAGCCAGGCTTCCAGTAAATGGAAATAATGGAAATTTTAACAGAAACTTTTTTTTTTTTTTTAATCAGAATTGCATCAGGTTTTGTCAGCTGTTTCCTTTTCCAGTAAAAAAAAAAATAGACTCCAACCCCCCCAAAAAAGAGTGCAGAAAGGATTGGCGGAAAGATATTTTTCCTGTCAAAATTTTGAAAAAACCTTGGGTTGAAAATTTCACTTTAAAAAAAGAAACCATCTAGTCTGTTAACATTTTCTACTGTCAGTTTTTGAGACAGATGCTATTAGGAAAGTGTTGTCAGTTTCTCTGTGAGTAGGTGGAGCTGGTTTGCCTTATGCTCCCCTGCAGCATCACTCAATGCCTACTTGAAGCTGGTAGCAATAATGGGTCACATAACAGGCCTCAGATATTTAGATGCCACCTGCCTCCAGCCTCTACTGGAAGAATGAACCTCAAAAGCGTTGGCTAACACTGGTTTTTTTTGCATTTTCATGGTGTGGCTGATAAAGCAACAAAAGGAATCGAAGGATATACAGTTATATCCTATGGCAGGTACACAAAAACAATAGCAAAATAGGTAAGAGCAAAAGGGAAGCATCTGAGGGAAAATCCATCAGTCTAGTAACAACAGGCATTGCTGAAAGCACACAGACAGTGGAAATGGAGCAAGGTATATAAATAGTGTGATGGGACTGGAGCAAAGAATTCTACAAGCAATTTATTTAGATTGAATGCTATTATGCAAATAAAGCATTTCATTGCAAAGCAGCCAAGATACATTATTCTATTTCCTGCTGCTAAAATAGAAATTATTCAGCAGTTGTTTGCATAGATTTATTGAGGGGAGGTATACTTCAGCTTCAACAGCTCTTGCTTGATTTGGTGTTATTATTTTGGGCCATAGTGTCTGCTCAAGACTATTGCACAGTCCTGATTGTCCACTGCTGCAGGAACACTATTCTTCTTTTAATCTTCGATGGTTTAAAGTGGGAAAGCATCATAGACATTGATATTTGGTTGATTTGTGAAAAAGTCAAGTCATAGTCCTCTTGGCTCTTTTCCCGAGCTGTCTTGGTTTCTTTTTGAGGTTCTCCTGGAAGAAATTCTATGCTTTCATACTAAAGCAAACATTTCATTTCTCAGTTTCTACAGATCAAGTGATGAGATGTCATGTGTGAACCCCCTGAAGGCTGAGAAGAGAAACTCTGACTCCCCCACAGAAAATTGTGAACTTCAGTTTCTTACTGGCTGACAACACCTTTGATTCAATTTGTATGAAACTCAATTTACTTATTAAAATGGACATTATTGTTCAAATATTAGAAAATCCATTTCTTATATGTTCTAAGCTGTACAATTGTCAGATTTTTATGGTTTAGATTGTAAATGTGGTTTTCTCTGGCTAATTATTGGTATTATTTTTTTAATTTTGATGTCTTAAAGGCCAATGTACTGTATCATAATAATATGAAGGACGTATTTAACAGGTGTGGAAAACACTGTATACAAATGTATATTTCTAAAAGCTATTTTTATGATTAGCACATTTTACTGTTTTACCATATTTAGAGTCATTGCACTGCTTTGTTTTCAGCTTAATTCAAACAAGATCATTTTGATCAGTGCCACAATTAAATACATTGCGTGGTATTTCTCATTATTTTATTCAATTTATTTGTCATTGGAAATAATTACATTTGGTAGTAGAATAGCTTCTAAAAAGTGAAAATGTCAAAGAGAGCAACTTGATAAACTGTATATTGCATCCTCCTGTAAATCCCTTTCTTCAGATAAGCCCTCTCTGTGATCTATTCATCAGACAGTTGTTACAGCTGTTCTTGCAGATCTCTAAAGGCAGTTTGTTGCTACCATATGGAAAGTCAGTCAGCCTCCTGTCTAGCCAGGAAAATTACTTATAGCCTGCCAATATCTGACAGCCTGAGTTAGCCTACTTATTACTTTTTGGGTTATTTTCTGGCAATAGTCTTTCCACCCACATACTCCTAAAGCCTTCCTAAAAGTCTGAAGTTGGAATAACTAATTATTGCAGATGTTGTAGAGGGAACCTCAGTATAGAATTTCTTAATAAATCATGTTTCCTTTCAAACAGAATAGATGCATTATTTCCCTTGTTGCTGAGACACTAAAGGTATCAAAGCATATGGGCACAAGGAATTCTCCCACTATAAAAGTACCAACTTTTTCATCATCCCAAAGCCAGACCTCTTTAGCATTGCAGATGACGTGAAACACGGAATATGTGTTTATTCATCTACATCTCTATGTTAATGGTACTCATATAGAAAGAGACATGTCTTTAAAGTGATTGCAGGGTAAATAAATTATTTATTATCGACAGCGTCCCAAGAGAGAGAGGCATTAATTTAGGAAGCATCTTACACAGTGAGATAGAGCACAGACTCAGCTGTGTGCCAGTCTGCAGCACTGAGCCCTGATCACTAAGCTGTGACTGGGGTACTTGCTATTTCAGATCATCCAGCACTACAAAGATGAACTCTTGCCTTACCCTTTCAAACATTCTCTGTAGGCTGAAAATAAGAGAAAACAAAAGGTACCAGAAAGAATTTTTGAAAGATCTAACTTTAAATTTCTGTTTTAAAAAGCAGTTTCTGAGATGACAAGTTCACCTCAAGTAGTGCAGGTGTAAGTGGGTGGGAGCTCAAAGTCTCAGGTCAGGTTTCTGGCATGGGGACCATCATCAAAGAAGGATGATATTCTTCAAAAATTTGGAAGAAAAGCATACATTTGAATTTAAATATCTGGTACTGAATGAGATTTTTTTCACTAGGCAGCTATGTGACATTTGCGCTCTCACTTTATAACATTTGTGTATGTTATATCTAGCTTGTCTATGTGTGTGGGGTTACATGATTTACATAAGTGCTGAGTAGTACCTAGCTCCTTAAATAAGGAAAGACTAGTATAAGTAGTTACACCTCAGCATAAACAATTGCAGCTTCAGAATTTATCAAGGCTAACTCTCCAAGAAAAGTGCAGCAAAAAAATATTACTCCTGTGTAAGTGAAATGTTAGGCCAAATCAGAGGGTGAAATACTTCTCCACTTTTTTTGTCTTAATATAAGTTATGAACATTTTTAACTGTAAAAAAAAAATAATTACCATTTCGGGATTTCCATCTTTGGCTGACAGTTAAAAAAAAAGAACTCCAAACCTCAGCAGCTCCAGGGGCATTAGTCCCATTTAAATCACATAAAATGTTGGCTGACTTAAGAGATGCAGAATATCATCCAAGGAGATCAGTTCTGATATTGGTGTTAATAAACTAGATATGAGAAACGTCTAGGTCTATTATCTCTTCACCACCTCCATTCCAAATGAGCTAACACTCACAGAAAGCACTCTGAGATTTTTACACATCCTTTACAATCATTACCCTTAGATTATAAACTCACAGAAACGATTTGCACATTCACAATGTTGACAATGTTTCACATCACAGTTTAAGTCCTGAATATATTTTGAACACAAAAGTCACCTCTGATAACACCACGAGGCACTACTTCATTTGCAAGCCAGAAGATTGTTACCCCGCGCAGTCTATTATTAGCAAGGTTTCTCAATGGCATGTTTGCTTAAAATCACTCCAGAGGATGCTGGTAGCTTTGACAGAGCTTAATAGTTCTCTGCTGTCCATGTATGCAGTATGCTCGGTGTTGTTTGCCATCACCTGTTACTTGTTTGACATAAGTTTTGTCAATCGTGGGATTTTTCAACATTACTCATCCCTTGCAATACGGAAGAATAGAAAACATAAAAGATCTTGTCAATCAGTTTGGACAGTCAACAGTCATGAAATCCTTTACAGACAGTCCTGAATCAAACCAATTCATTTTCTACACAGATCTATAAGCTCTGTGTATTTCAGATATTTGTTTCAAACATGGGCAGCTGCATGAATGGAAAATATTTACTAAAAAGCTTTAAAGTTTGGATCAAGAAAAAAATATTTTTACTTTTGTAAACTCTTGTATTACATATTGTTGCAGTTCCTATTGGTTTTCTCTGTAGATCCATTTTTAGTTCTGAAAAATCACTGTACTTAAACTATGTAGATAACTATAATCTTGTTAACAGTTGGATTTTTAATTGGTGCCACTGCAATTTAGAATTGAAACATTCAGAGTTTGTCCATTAGAGCAGATTGATGGTTCATTACAGTTTTCTTTAAAATGTTGTAACATAATTTTTACATGTCTGTAAATAAATATTTTCTCTGATTTATGCACTAATTCAGTTTCGCAATTTCTTCTCTTAAAATGTGACTCTAAGACACTTTCCAGGAAAAATGTGTTCTCTCACAGAAAAATGGCACTTAAAGCTCTGTCATACAACCATCCTTTACAAACTTCCAAGCAGACCAAACAGAAGCAGGCATTCATAATATGAAGTACTAAACTATAGTAAAATGGATAAAAATGTTAAACCTGCTATAATTTTAACAGTTTGAGAAATTTAAGCACCAGTACTGTATTAAGAAATGACTGACAAGAAATGTGACCAATTCCTTGAAAAGAGGGAATTCTTCAGTGGAGTGAGAAAGAGGGAGGCACAGTGGGGATATTTAATTGAATTTAAGAAATGCATTTTCTTAATCTTGGAACTTCTTAGTTTTGTGTATCACAAAAGCAGTACGAACATAATTTATGAAAACTATGCCAAAAATAGTTATCATTTTCTGGTCAGTATCCAAATTCATTTTTCATTCATAGTTCCCTATTCCATTCACAAGGTGTTGCTGTGCAGGCAAGCTAAAGAAAATTGGTCCATAAAGTCTATGAGAATGATTTTAAATTATATTAGTATTGCTAAGAAGAAAGACGATTTTTAAATATAAGGTAAAACCAGCACAACTTGACAAGATAGTACTTTAGTTCTGAGCATTTCTCAGCAATCAAATATTCTGGCCACAAGAATGAAAGAGAAAGAGAAAATTAAAGCACTTGTGTACAGCAGTTACAGCCCTGTGTTTACAATCCATGCCCTTACAAGAATCAGCTCTGGAAAACTGGTAAGAAAATCCTCTGAGAGACTGCTTAGAAAAAACACAGAGTGCTACAGGTAGTACATAGTTGTTGGGTTTTGGATGGTGGAATAATAACCCATTTGACAAAAAGTGCTTGAAGTTTTGTGGCTGCTATAATAAGTACTTTTTTTCTGATTAACCCCTCAAAAATATTGCTGTTCCATTTTTGTGCAAACAGAATTAATCTGCAAGTATCACACTTTATTTTAACAGAAAACTAGTTTTCAGAGCATCCATCCCATATAAATCCCTCTATATTTCTGAACATTACATTTAAATCTTTCTGATACTGTCCTGGCTACATGACTTAGCAGCTCAAGGTAGTGGAGAAAAAATTTTGCATAACCACTCTACTGGTGTATCACTATATGTGAATGTATCTATGGTATGTAGCTATGCATATGTGGAAAAAATATCTTTCCATTGCTTTGTGCTTTAGATAATTAGAACTAGAGACAACTAAAGTTGTGTAAAATAAGAATCAAACTCCTCTGTTGATAGTCATCAAATGAGTACCTTCAGTGTCTACTCCAACTGGATTCTTAAGCATAAACTGTGGTCAGTGTTCATTCTATGAGTAGTTACAGCAGCATTTAGCAAATTATTTAAAGAAAGAAGAAATGATACTGCCGCTGATAATAGTGCTGCTGCAGCAGGACCACAGTGGAATATGGTGGATGAACAGAGGATATACAGCATGGCAGGGCTGCAGCTTGAATCTGGTGCTGAGATCTGAATGAGCACTGAAAGTATTTTAATTCAGGATTACTGAGGAAATAATTGAAAGGGGATGTTTTGCACCTGTACTCATTTTACATTTGAAGAAGGCTCCCCCACATGCTTATTTATTTTATTTAATTTTTTTGTCTGCCAGCATGCCATGATTTTGATGATTCTTTCAAGGGGTAGGCCTCAAAATTTGCACGTGATTTTGGTCAAACTTAGTGAGAATTCAACACTTAGCAATAAGTAGTCAATCACATTAAAAATTTACCCCTTCTTCTGAATTTTGGCCTTGGTGTTTAATCCACAAGGCAAGGGAGTGATTTCATAAATATCTGTTTACTTGAGTGGTCACATTAATTGTAAATCTATGCTTCCATTGATAGAAAAACTATAGATTAGAACCATAGAATGGTTTTGGGTGGAAGAGACCTTAATGATCGCCCAGTGCCAAGCCCCCTGCCCTGGACAGACTTTTCATGAGACCATTCAAGCTGACCTTGAACACTTTCAGGGATGAGACATCCATAACTTCTCTGTGAAACCTGTCCCACTGTCTCACCACCCTCATATTAAAGAACTCCTTCCTAATATCTAGATTTTTTTTTTTTTCCTTTTTATTTTTTTTCCACCAGTGTTTTACATTCTGGTCTCCATCAGCAATCTCTGTTAAAAAGACGACACATTTTTATGCAATATGTGATATCAAACAAATCAACATTGAAGCATTTCTTAGTTCTATACAAGACAACTTTCAGTGATACATGTCAGGAGTTTTACTGTGTTGGGGATGACATGTTGCATTACTTGTAATCAAAGTACCAGTGTATGAAATTCTATTTTGCAAATCTATTCATTGAGCGCTATTATTTAAGGCAGCAGGCTTCAGAGAGAAAGTTTATCAGGTCCTGTCTCAGAAACATAAATATGTTTCTTGACAGCAAGCTATAAATAATCAATTGTACCGATTTCAAGGATGAGTGACCTTTGAAATTTGGATACTTCTGCAATTACAGGAGGATCATTTGTAAGTGAATTGCAAGTTTTGAGTTATTTTTTTTGTAAGATAACAAGGCAGGTAAACAGTAATCCAGGAGTGCTACCAGTTTATATGGGTCTCATTCTGGTCAATTTGTTCCACACTGGATTTGGATGATACAAGTCATGTCACAAGATAACATGATAGAAGCAGACAACTAATAACAGCAACAAGAAACATAGCAAAAAAATCAGTGCCCATGGAATTGCGTATGGGCATCCATGTAGACGAATGGTGTTGCTATATTTTCTATCAGATGTAAACTTTAGCTTCAAGAGAAGC